TCACTCAGCAGCACAAGTGCCTGCCTAGCAAGTGCAAGGTCCTGAGTTCTATTTCCAGTATTAAAGAAAGAAAGAAAGAAAGAAAGAAAGAAAGAAAGAAAAATTATATTGGTAGAGCGTCTTTAAATGTAGCATCAGCAATATTTAAAATCTTTAAAACTAAGTTATTGAAAGAGCCTTTTATTATGGAATGGAGATCCTCAAACATTTATAAATGTAGAGAATAGGATTATGGTGCCTTATTAGCCTTTTTCAACAATTATCAACACAGAAGTTTTGTTTTAGCTCTCTTTTCACCTCTACTTTCATACTCAAGTTTTAAAGCAATTTCTAGATACAGTATTTTACCAAGAAATACTTAACAATTACTGGAAGGGCAAAGACCTTCTAAGACAATCTAAACACAATGCTGTCATACTTCAGAAAAGTTAAGAAAATTCTTATAAACTATTGTCAATGTTTAAGCTTTCTTAGTTCCTCAGACATTGTTATAAAGTTGACTTGTTTCAATTAGAATCACCACTAAAAGGGCCAGCCAGATAGGTCAGTGGACTAAAGCGCCTGCTTAGGCAGACGCAGGACTAGGGTTTGATCCCTGGCTTGCTGTGCAGGGCCTGTCCCCTAGGTGCGCTGAGGGGGCGAATGAGACGGGTTGTGGTGGTGTGCACCTGTAATCCCCACTCTTGAGAGGCTGCAAACAGGAGGATCACTACGAGTCTGATCTGTGTAGTGAGACCCTGTAGACCCTGTACTAAATACATTAAAAAACAAAAATCACCACTAAAGATCACACGTTGCCATTTTTTAAGTATAAAAATGATTATTTCCAGCATCAGTGAACCAAAAGATCATCAAAACAAAACACTCCATCAACTATATCATGTTAAAAATTGCTTGTCACATTTCAGCAGAGTGCAGCGGCCAGTGTTCGGTCCCCAGCATGCCCTGCTAGCTATGCCCCTGGGCCGCACTGAGAAGGTGATTGAGACTGAGTGTGGTGGCATGCGCCTGTAATCTCTGTTTACAAAGTTAAAAACAGGAGAATCACCAGGAGTCCAATCTGTGTAGTGAGACCCTGTACACCTTGTAGACCCTGTCCTCAGTTCATTTTTAAAAAAATTGCTTGTCCGCTAAAATTTGCCCAACTTTTTTTTTGGTATTTTAGGGAAGGGTCTACAGGGTGTTCAGGGTCTCACTACTAGATTGGACTCATAGTGATCCGCTGTTTACAGCCTTCCCAGAGCTGGGATTACAGGCGTGCGCCACCATGTCCCATCTCAATCGCTGCCTCAGCGGGCCCCGGGGGCGGGGCCAGCACGGCAGACCCCTTTAATCCACTGAGCTATTTGGCTGGCCCTCCAACCTCTTGATAATCACAATCACATCTGATTTTTGTTGTTAGGTTCTTCAAGAATTTTTAAAACTTAGGAACTTCTATTTTCTCTTTTTGTTTCCTACTTATTGAAGACTTTGAA